GGGGCTGAAAATGAAGAAATTTGGACAGCTATCCAGGAAGATTTATGTGACTTGTTTTCAGAGGCTGTTCTGAGATGGTTGTCTAAGGCTTGGGGGGTCCCCCCCCCTCCTTTGTTGTCCTGGATGTGTACAAGAAGGAAAGCTTTCATTGCTGTGTTCTTCAAGGTATAAGCAGGATGGTCTGAACTCATCCCTTACCCTTGGGAGTCAGTAAATGGAGTAAATGGCCAGTAAAAGAGATGACCAACTGGAGAGTAGCTGATTTACAGCAGGAAGCTGATAGTAATTGCTTAGGCAAAAGCCAAGAGCACTCAATAATTGAAAGCTGTCCCTGGAACTGCAGGAAAGCCTGGAGACTGCTGGAGATCCTGCGTGCCTTCCCTTTGCAGTGATGGAGCTCGTGTAAATAGAGCTTAAAAAGAGGGTGGGAGGAGGGACGGGCGTGACTCATGGCATTTTATATTTATCACTGTTCATCAGTTCAGAGAGATGAGTAAGCAGGTAATGTGTGTTTCTTAATCTTCTAAGCTAATAGAAAAAAAGTCCCAAAGTCATCTCCTGTGGTCAGTTAAATCCAAAGTTCAAAATGTCCATACGCTAATAGAGCAAGGAGTAGAAGTGTTAGTCTAAATTAAAGAAATTAAAAAAAAATAGACACAAAGCTTGGGGAAAACACATGTAAAGTAAAGCTGAAAGGCAGGCATTAAGGAACAGTGCTCATCTTGCTGTATTCCTTAACGAAGCTTTCCTGAGGATAGTGCAAAGCCTGTTGCTTTGTCCTCTTACTCATATGAAGTTCCACTTTCTCTAGCAAGCCATTGCCAGTGCCTACGTGTGGAAATCAGCATTAGCTGTCACAGGAGGGACTTGGCCATAGAAGTGTTACCACACAGGCCTCGTGTAGGCTTTGTGCTCGAAGATGTGGCGTCTACAATGAAACTGGAAAGGAGGTGAACTCAAGAACAGGTGCTGGTGTGATACAAAAAATAGAAATTAGTGTAGGAGAGTTTAAGCAGTCTGTTATAGATGGTGAAAACGAGATGCTTGTGTGCCTCTGCAGGTTCCAGTTGTGCAGTCGTGCATTTACAGTTACAGACTGAGAGAAGATGAGCCGTGATTTTTATTTATAGTGGTACCCAGGAGGCCGGGCAGCCTTCAGTTTGTGATGTAAATGGTGGGGAATGTTGGTATATGGTACACCCCAGAGGAACAGGGCAGCGAGAGGCGAAATCTGAGAGAAGCTGGGCTGGTGAGGTATGTACCCAGTTAAATTAGTGCACTGCCACGGTAGAGAGGGATGTAAGGCTTCAGAAATAAGTGAGACTTCCTGTTTGGATTATAACACAGCCCTCTGAGAAGGAATTCTAAGGAGCTGAGAGTTTTCTGAATTTTACATGTAAGTGTCACTATCCACCACAAAATGGGTTTTAAAAAATATTTTAGCTTCTGGTAGATTATGGTGAGAACCAAGAGAAAATGGACCACAGGGGTATTTTTGCTGAAGTAGCACTATGTCACTGACACGTGTCTCCCTCTTTCCTGCTGCCCCCCACTCTGGGGAGGGAAGATTGAGTAAAACGAACTTCTGTGTAATCTGTTACAGGTTTGATACCTTCAGCTTTTCTCTCTAAGTCATAATATTTTTAAAATATTTGGTTCTTAAAGTGGGCAGAAGAGTTATTACACTGTTCTGTGCTGCAGCAAATAACGAAGTATGCATGTGATAAGAGCTATAAAATGTACACGGACTTGGAAATTTTTGTTTTATAATCACTTGAAATAATAATTTCATGAAGAATAAATCATACCTCTGTAAGACAGGATCCATATTCTGAAGATATTTTTAACTTGGAGTTCTGGTGAGTTGTTAGGCTGGTGGTCTTCCAGCCAGATTTCCTACACTGAAGGATTAATGTTGGAGTTCTGCAATTCCTTTTATGACTCTTTAGAAGTAATGTGGTAATTCCATCTTTGTTACTTTTTTTTGTCAATCTATTGTTGCCAGGAAGGGTGTCGTAGTGGCAGTTTTGTCATGTGTGTTCAGTTGCTTTAGTAACTGGAAGAAAGGCACAAATTGATTTTTTTTTTGAGTGCTACAAATTGTGGTTCGTTAATGAAAGCTGAATAGAATTGTTATTAATTTGTGGTGGGATCTTGCCAAGGTGCAATATGATGGAAGCAGACTTTTAAAACTGGAAAACAATTGCATTATTTCATGTTTGATTTTTTTATCTCTAAGAGCATCGGTCTGGTAGATGTCAGTAATCTGTGAGGAATTTCAAACTAATCTGAAGAAAACAGCAGTGTATATACAACTGAAGTTTTTAAATCAGTGATAGTTTATCCTGTATTTTCATCAGAGAACAAAAGAATTGCAAACAGTATCATTCTGTAGGCTAGAAATTACTAGTAGTACTTTGAAATAGAAAATCTGTATGAATTTAGGTTTTTTTCTGTGAAAATTGGTTTATTGACAAATGAGAGAAAGCTTCTTGTTGGTTTTATTCTAGGATTCTTAATTTTTATCTTGTTTCAAAAACAAGTTTTCCTTGTTTTGTTTTCTTCGCATTTGTAGAAAACGCAGCTTAAGCCTCCTCAAACAGGAAACAAGCCACCAATATTTGCTTTTTTTAGCCACCAAGCTTTTCCAGGCTTTAAGCTTAAACTGTTGATATTAAGCTCAAACTGTTTCCCAGAAGTGCTGTATATGTCGTTGAGGGACCACCTGGCACTGCTGAGGGCACTACTGGTAAATGACAATTTTTAAAATCCATTGAAATGAAATCATGCGTGATGCCAAGTTCTGCCTGCTTAAGGTGTAATTTAGAGGACAGCTGCCCTCGAGCTTGCCCATGGCTACAGTTGTGTTTGTAACGAGATGTTGCTTCAGTGTAAAGTGATCTCAAAACCCAGCATGTGAATTACTGGTGAATGTTGGTTATGATTTTGACGTCTTGAGAGTGCTCAAGTGTTTGGTTTTGCTGTTGCTTATAACTCAGTTACAGAACTCGTCTTAGATCTGTGATATTTAAATTGAGGAGCACACTAAAAAAAAATTACATTACCTTAATAAATTTTGTTAATTTATTGAAGAACAAACCTATGCCTTTGAAGTTTTAAACCATCGTTGCATATCTTGCATATAGAGTCTTTTTTACCTTTGGAGGTGGAAAGAACAAATCAGTCAAGCGCTTAATGTAAGTTTTATACCCACATAATGTCCTTGCAGCTGTATAGAAAACGTCTTGCATCTCAAACGAAGCTGTGGTAGCTCTGTTATACACAAAAATGCATATAACTTTAGAATTTAATAGCTTATATAAAAACCTGAAAATTTTAGTAGTCTGTCACCACTATGATATTGCAGTCTCTTCAGCTTTCTGCAGATATTGCTGAGTTGGGTTTGTTAGATCCGGTCCCTGATGTCAGGCTTAGCGTAGCAGTCTTGAGTCGGCACCAGGAGATTGGTTTGCTGTTGGGCACGGAAAAGGTTAGTTATTCTCCAGATTGAACTAAATGCCTTAAAACTGCTTACTAGAAATTCTCCTAATATGGTATCAGAATGGCGATAATAGATTTTTAAAAAATTGTGGAAGCAAAATTTGTCTAGAATTCTAATTAGTCATATAAAATGGCAGCTGTAAATACAAGCATGTGTCTACATATTTGTGTATTTGATCCCCCAGAATAAATGTATGCTTATCTGTATAGCTGATTCCCCAAAATAAACGCTTTAAAATGTGCTTAATTATCAGGTTTTACTGTGGTGCATCAGTAACTAGCTGCAGATAGTTATCAGGTGTCTGCCTAATTGTGTGTATATAACAATCTTTAAATCAAATAACTTTAAGCAAGGAAATAGGAAAGGTAAACAATTTCAAGAAATATTAAAAAGAAACTTCCATGTTACACAGCGAAAGCTGGAAGATGTTACAAAAAGTGTGAAGTGCTTAAACGTTCTATATCTCATGTTAATATTTTTGGATATTTTGGATTTCTCAGTTTTGTAACAAAAATGTAAAGAGGACTGAATTGTTTCTTTCCTGGGCTGGGAAAAATCGGCGTTGACTTGAGTTTTATCATATTTAAATGTTGGTTTATTGCCATTTTCAGATGAGTATGCAAATTTCTTTGGTCTTACAAGGCTGGCTCTTAAGGTAAAATGATTGTCACATAAAATAAAAGGAAGCAAAAAAAGATGATGCAATAGCCTGCAGTGAGACAGAGCCATAAAAGGTGAAGCAGGCAAAATGGGAATAGGTGGTCAGCAGTACAGATTTTTCTCTATTTATTTTTTAAAGCAAAACAAACAAACAAAAACCCACCAACCCATCCCCCAAAATAAAAAAAGCCCACCACCCACAAGCTTAGTACCACGTCCATATTTGAAGATTTCGGTTTTGGACTAGCAGGTGTGTTCACATCTCTGTTGCTGCACATTCAACTTCATTTTGACTATTTAAGGATGAAAAGATGTCGGTTCTTAGACATTGTTAGACACGGAATTATTTCTGTAGGAAAAAAGAAAAATGTGAACAATGCTTCTGAAAGCCTTTTTGTTGCATTTGCTTAAGCAAAATATGAAAAATCACATTGGACAGTAGAGCTGCTGACAAAGATCCTTTCTTGACCATGAAAGGCAATGTCAAAGAAGGAAGTGTAAACCAAGCATTGTCTCAACTTTGTGCAAGTTGTGGAGGAGAAGCTTTGATTATTTTTAGTGGTCATGTAAAAGCTCGTCTTGATGCTCATCTGTTATTTACCACTTGTATCTGTGCCCTCAGGGTATTAGATATCCTGAGTATATGCTTCAAAGAAGTAAGAAAGACCTGTGTAAAAAATCCAGTGGTAGTGGGGAGAAACAGCTACGCTTCACTTATTCTTCTGTAGAAACTTCTTTAAGCTACTAGTTGAAACTGCTGAAAATGTCATGGGTAGGCATAGAACAGTCTTAAAATTAGTAACGAGGAACTTCACTTAACTTCTGTGCTTTTTGTTCTGCAGTGTGATGTTCAGGGTCAGAAATGCCTTATGTGGATCGTCAGAATCGCATTTGTGGTTTCCTAGATATTGAGGAAAATGAGAATAGTGGGAAATTTCTGCGGCGGTACTTCATTTTGGACACACGAGAAGACAGTCTGGTGTGGTACATGGATAACCCACAGGTGAGGTGTTCTTGGCAATAGTTTTCTGGCTTCTGTCAACTTCCACTTCTTAAGATTTATTTTTTTTAACAAATTTACTTAAAAATTGACTTTAATATTATGGACCTAGAAGCTGGGGGAGGGGCGGGGATAGTAACATAAGTGAAATAATTGTAAATCAGTGTTTCTTCTTTGCTAATATGTACAGTCTTTAAAAAAAAGTTTATATTTCTGTGTAAAACGTTACCAATTGCACTTAATAGTAAAAGGTTAGAAACAACTTGAACATCCAGTGAATTTCCAACATATGGAATCTAAGTATTAACAGGAGATTTGGGGATCAGGTGGAAATCTGAAATTGATCCCGCGTATAAATCAGTCATTGGTTTTGAATCGTGATGTGCTGTATTGACTTTCTGTGAAGTGTCTCGAGTGTGAATTGCAGGTTCTTGCAGGCACTGGGTAGTGCTGTGTGACACAACCAGATGAGCCGAGTCACATACGAGTTTCAGTACACACCTGATGTGGAAGTGTGTGGTTTTCCTTGCATTGCATGGGGCAGTTAGCTGTTTCATATTTACCTCAACAGGATCAGTCATTGAGAAGCAATTTCTAGTGATGCTTGCAATTTCAGTACAGCACGAATACTGTCTGAATGGGGAAAGCTTGTATCCATCATGATGGACAGCATTCTTCATATAAAAGCTACTTCTACAACATACACCCATCGAGGTGTATGTCTAGCATAGGGGAGAACAGATAATTGCTTAGAATTTGGGCACAGAGACAGTGAAAGTGTAGGATCTAGATCAGCTAACAACGGTCTGCCAGAAGAATATTCATGAACCACTCTGCCAGGAAGACCTGAGTTAAAATGCAGTAGAAGTCTACTGTTCAGAAAGCAACAAAAAAAAGTTTAAATGATGTGCAAGCTCAATGAACGTGGCTTGTGGCTGAAGCATTTAGCAGTTCTTACTGAGGAGAGAAAAGAATTTCTGGAAATGAGACTTCAAATGTTTGATGTCAATGAGTGATATGAAGCAATTCTTTTTTTCACTTTCTCCTGTGATAACCAGGGTGTGTGGGAAAAAACTTGAAATGCTGTAGAAGTTGCAGTTCTTCAGAAGTTTTAAGGCTAATGGTATTTGCAGTGCACACCTCTTAAGAGTTTTTAGTTTAGGCTTTCTTAGCTTTTTCTTTTAATGGTATTGTTCACGGACAAATGAAAGGGTACCTTGCAAGAGGCAAGTTGAAACTTCTTGATTTTCTTCCATTGCTTTAGTTTTGAAAACCAGATTTTTTACAGAGCCACTGTGTGGAGACCATTCTTAATCCTTTAAGTGATGAAACTCTTCGTATAGGATGGGTCTGTGGTGTGTGCAGAACTTCACTGGGCCCTTTGCTGAAAGAAGTTCTCTGTATCTGTGAAAATCAGTTCAGCTGTTCAAAGAAATGATGTTTTTAAGTTCACCATTAGCCACACATTATTATCCTGATATAAAGATTATAACACAAGTGTATGCTGGGATCAGAATAATTCTGATAAAGTAAAACTTAAATTTTGGGCAGAATGGAACGACTTTTTTATTAAGCTTCCGTGTTACCAGTCTATAGTAAACCTGACCTACTTCTTACCTCTGAAATATGAATGAAGTGTAAACCAATTATTTGTTTTTCTGACTCTGAGTAGCATTAGGCTCATCTTTGATTTGGAAGTTCATAAGGCACTGCAGAGTAATGAAGAGCACTTCAGCTGGGGAAGGGATCAGCGAGCACATGCAGTACCATTTTATGGTCTCCTGGGAGGCCCATAGTGGGAAGAACAATACTGTTAACATAAAGGGCCATTTTGAAAGTAAAAATTGTAATGGAAAAAAGTGTATGGAAAATAACGCTCTATTTAAAGGAGTAAAATTAGGAAGGCTGTTTCATCAGCAACAGTTAATAAAAAATTTCACCACGGTTTGTGATGCTCAGGTCCGACTGTTGTATTTCTAGGCTACTAGCTGATGTAAACAGTAATGTAAATGGTAAGACTGGTGTGCTAAGCAAGGGTGTAAAAACAACGGACAACTCCTTTCTGAACTGTAGATATACTTGAGTTTAACTGCAGTTTCAGGAAGTACCTGGTCTGTCTTTGCAATAACTTTAATATTAAACGATAAGACTATGATTTTTTAATCCATTTTGGAAAATATGTGAGGCGGCCTTTGAAGTATCTGACATAATAGATGAGTGTCACTTCTTGTCCCTTCCGCATGCGCTGGTCAAAATACATAGGACGCCAACATCTGCTAAGGAAAAAGTATTCTTTCCGGATTTCCTGGATGCAGAACTGCAAGAATCCTTTTTCCTCTAGTAAAATACATAAACCTCTGAAACAATTACTGTTTCTATTGTTTCTAGCAGTCTTTCTGTTTTCAGTTGATTAACAGATGTGTGAATAATAAACAAGTAGTTTAGATCCTGTTTCGAGTGTACATTGTGTATTGTCTATAAAAACACAGAGGATTTTCTTTTTGTTTGTGGAATTAAGTTATTTGCTTTTTATGTGTAAACACTGACTGTGAGATGAGAATAAACTAATTTCACTTCATTTCAGAATCTTCCCTCTGGATCTCCACCTGTGGGAGTCATTAAACTTACCTATATTTCGAAGGTAAGGTAATATGTAAGACACTTGTTGCTAAATTTTGGTGATGACTACCAAGGGCCACTTCTGAAGGCTTCAACTTTAGACTATTTTAAAAGCCTCTTAGGTAGTGCGTGGGAAGCTTTTTTGCTTCTGTGCTACTCCTGAAGTGTTACAAACACTTCAATAGTGTCAGATTTAAATAAGAACAAACTAATTACTGTGTTGTCTTTGTGATTTCAAATGGCAGCTCTTTGTGCTGCAGAGTTAGTATTTCTGAACTGTATGTTTCAGTTCTTTGAGTATTTGAATTCCAATTAGTCTTGGAGAAAAGACAGGCTGGTTATGAAGTGGAAGATAAGTCTTTGAGTGTGATTGAGAGTTTGCAAGTAATAATGATCTTTAATGGATAGGATAATAGAAGAGAAAAATTTCTAGAAAATACTTAGTTCATTACACTCTGTATGCATTCACTTCTAAGTATGTCTGAAAGAAAGCTATTACCTAAAAGTGCCATGGTTAAATTCGTAGCAAATACTGCATTAACAAATAAGTGGAGAAAAATAATTGACCTTCTCTTGTCTTTCTGCTCATTTCTCATCCTTCCTTTGCTTTTCTCGCTGTCATACTTCATCTTCCCGCCTTCCTTATTTTGCTTTTTTATTCTTGTAAAAGATATTGATGCTGGTTATAACATGAGTACAGAAACGTCTGTGGAGACCTGCTTATGTCCTTCCTGGTTTCCTCCTTCTAAGCTTACTTTGCCCCAGACCTCACAGTTATCAAGATCTTAAATCTAAAATCTTGTATCTCACTTTTAACGGGAGCAGGGTGGTCACCTGTGTGCACCTTTGAAGGCAGCTCAAGTGTGCCTCCTGTGCAGATGTTCTGTCTAACTTCCCATAGTTCTTCAAGTTAGAGTACATGGTTTTTGTTTCTGGTTGAAAAAAAAACCAAAACACATGATGTGAGAGACTGCTTTGCCTTCTCCCCCACCCTTGATAGAAGTGCTCTATAATGTAAAAATTTCAATGCCTCTCTCAAAACAGAACACCCGCTTCTCTCCTCCCCCAACACTGCAGTGTTTTAGAGGTTCCTGAAGAAAAGTGGCTATTATTCTTTTTATGTTAATGAACCAAAATACAAGTGATGTCCTTGGCAGTATGAGCTGTACTTGAATTTTCAGTTCAGTTGAGACATAGGCCTTCAAAATGCAAGTAGAAGTGTTATGTTTTGAGATTTCAACACTTGTCTGGTAATCCTCAAACTCGAGGAGCAGGAACATGTGGCTTAAGCTGTTTTCTTACCATAGGTTGCACATCTGGAACTGAATTTTATATAGTGGGGTTTTTTGTTACAGCTGTATATCTTTATATCTAACAACCTTAGCCACTTGAAATAAAAAAAAAATTGTGATACCTGATGTATATTTTGTATGCACGATGATATTTATAATCCTAATTTCCCTACTAGGTTAGCGATGCAACGAAGCTGAGGCCAAAGGCAGAATTCTGTTTTGGTACGTTCTCTCATGCAGCATGTGAATTAAGTGAATTCTTCAGAAATTTGAAACAAAGATAATGTTACGCAATTCTGTAACTAGGGACACCTAGTAATGTATTTTTAAAAAACAGCTTTATTCAGTTTCTTCTTTAGTATGAGCGAAATGTTGGCTTTCTCATAAGGTGTTTTTGTGGCTTTTCGTAAGGAAATATTGCAGCTTCATGAAGAGTAGGTGAGAGCTGTTTTTCAGATGTTTGAAATTTTTGAGGCATTGGTAAGCTAATCAAAAATGATCGGTGTTTTCAGAAACATGGCATGCCTGTCAGCTTTGAAAACAAGTGGTTTAACTGTTTTAATTTGTAGTACTGATAAAAAAGTTGATTTAATTGATCTAAAAATAGTGTCAGCCAATGCTTTTATGTTAAATTTCAACCCCTATTGCTGCACTCCCTATTGAAGTACCTTATAGGTTTATTGATACCTAAACTTGTTTAAACTTGGGTAAAGCTTTAGCTAATCATAAAAGCCTCTTATGATTTTTTCATTTTTTTCTTAGAAGAACTTTGTCCAGAATTTACTGTCATTCGCATGTGCATGTGTAGGGGCATTTGTCTCAATCCGTTGTAAAGTTGCTCTTGTCAGCGGGCCAGCTCTGAAGAGCCTTGATGATTCAAGATGCTGCCTGAAAGCTTTTAGTATTTCTGATTTGTTAAAGCGTTTTTGATACCTTTTAGAGAAAAAAATTACTTTTTTTTTTAAATTTAAATACTGGGAGTCATTTCAGTCAACTCGTTACACAGTTCTATATTTTTAATTTCTATTTGCATCTATGATGTTTGCTTCAAACCATCCACTTTAAGGAGAAAGATGATAGAAGAGTAAAAAGTATCTGTTTCTGGCATGTGTTTGCTGTTAGCAATGACCTGAAGAACTCTTATGTTATAGACAGAGCAGCGAAATCTGTTCAGACTTTAGCTGCAATGCTTCAAAGTTCTGGGAAGGTTTTAGTCACTGTTTGCCTTAAAACTAATTTCAAGATAAGTTCTTAGAATTTGAGAAAACTAGCCATGATTATTTTGCTGTTACATAGAAACATGTTTGTCCTTTTTGGATAAAGATATGCTAGATGTTGCCAGGTAGCCATATAAACTTACTAAAACTATGCTTTCTCTGCTAAGTCACTAAAGTAAAACAAAGTTTTATGTTCTGGCTATTTAAAAGTTATTTGGTCCTTAGTACTGAATATGATTTTTCTACAAATTAAAAAAATAATAATAATAAAACCAGTGATCATAGTCATGTTGATGAGATTGTTGCAAAGTATAACAGATACTAGTCAAAAGATTAAAAGGAGAAATTGTAGAAGTCCCCAACTATAAAACTTTGTTGCTTAGGGAAATTGAGAAAAGGGAAATGGAGCTGTAGAAAATTCTGATAAAATTCAAGATTTTATTTCTATGAAATAAAAATCATTTAACAAATTCTGTATGATGCTGTTCAAGCAGAGAGCTTGGAAAAAAAAAATTCAAAAAAGATTTTTTTAGAATAAAGCAAGCCTGTCAAGTGGATGTATGTGTCTTAAAACGACTTTCTGAAAAGAAATGCAGCAGAGAGCTTAAATACTTCAACTGGATTGTCCATCTGAAATCAAATCTTTTTATGATGGTGTTAAGTTTGCTTTTAAATTTCAGTGTTGTTAACTTTTCATAACGGTTTTTAACAGTTATGAATGCAGGGATGAGGAAGTACTTCCTACAAGCCAATGATCAGCAGGACCTAGTTGAATGGGTAAATGTTCTGAACAAAGCTACCAAAATCACAGTAAGTGGTTTAATTGATATTTAGCAATGCTTTTAAATGTAGCCTTTGCCTCCAGTCTTTAGGCTAGAGAGAGTCTTTATTTCTACGAACAAGTCTTGGCTTGGCTTTCCAAGACTTGGAGAAACTGTACAGAACTCCCCCTGGATTGAAGTTTATTTTACTTTTTGCTTTGAAAATGGACAAAAATGTGATTATCTTTTGCATATGATGGTTTCTAATAATTTAAAATTAACCATACACATTTAACATTAATTGAAATATCCAGAAGACACTTGCAAGCAGTGCAAACGTACACGTACGTTTGTCTGGTGTCAAAAGTTTGTTTTTAAAGTATCACTAAAATAATGAGCAAACACATCATGCCGTCTTCCAAAGGCGCTCTCCTGATTTCAGGTAACATCCATTCAAAGAAACATTAATGCATTCTTCAGATAAGTGTTAAATTACTTTTCTGGTTTGTGCCAGGACATGATAGAAAAACCCACGTGTTACCTCAGTCTTTTCAGGAGGCAGAAGTTACGGTTTTGTTTTCTCTCCAGTTTTGGGGAAGTGACGACATGAACTGTTTTGAGAGCATACGCTTGCAAAGAAGGGGTTCTGGGCGTGGGTGTGCACAATTCGTGTTTGTTGTCAATAACTTTCTCATTTTCAGGTTTTCCAAGGATGTTTCCATGAGCTGTTTGCGTTGTTTTAATGTAGCACTTTCTTTGGAGCTATAAAAACGTTGCTACTAATAATAAAACCAGAAACAGCCTTCTCACTTGAGTTTTTCATCTGGAGGACACAGCACAACCAGACTGGAATGGTTTCCAGTTCAAGAAGCAGAGTGAATAGTTAATTGCATCACATCAGCGTTTAGTCTAAAAGCTGTTTATCATATGTTTAACTTGCATTCTTAATGGCTGGTGAAACCATTAGTATTTTTTGTCTTTGAAGGACAAACACTTTGAACTGTTAATCAGTTCAGAGGTTGTTTAGTATGGCCAGTGATTTCATCCGATAATTAAGATCATTGTTACTAATTTTCAGATGAGCGTTCCTTGCTGTAGATTGTAATCCTCCAAGATTGGTGACGTTTTTACTACTGAGTGCTGATAATTTCAAAAGAACTATGAGCCTTTGCAGTCTCGCACACTTATGAGGACTATCTGAAAACACGTTCATTTGAGAAGGTGGTTGTGGGTTTGGTCTGAATGTTGTGAGTGGGAGTTTGTGGCGGCTGAAGCACTTCCCCATAACGCTGTAGCTGCAAGCCCTTCTCTTGAAAGGCTGAGGCCCGTGATCCATGAGCACTAGGAGAAGGTCTTGATCCTTCAGCACCAGACTTGTCTGTGAACCGAGTCACCTTCACCTGTGCTGGCAAAGCTGGGCGTTGTGCGGGGTGAAGGTGGAAGTGGCAGCAAGCTTGGCCCTGAGCTGAGCAAGCTGCTGAGTGTCACCTATGCTTGGCCAGGAGGAAGCTGTCCCAGGCTGACATTTGTGCTCTTACAACTGTTTGTACTTCTTTGCAGGCTTTTTTTTTTAAATAAGCAGGGCTGGGCATAGAACTACAGTCACAGCACACTATAAAGTAGCTTTATTTTTGTCTAGATCAGTTCAGTTTCAAGTTTTGAGTGTGCCACAGTCTTGCATGGTAAGGCACGGTGTAAAGACAATCTGCATGTCCCTTTCTGAAGGAATTTGGATGTCCTAGGTAAATATCCAGTAGGCTGCTGGCTAGGATATTTTGTTGTGAGACTCTTGATGTCTCCTTGTTGAAGTCACTTCAAATTTACTATATTAATATTAGAGGTGAAAGGAGATTATAAATGAAAGTGTCTTCGGTAGCCAATTGTTAGTGCGTTTCTTAGGTTACAGGTGTTTACTTCATGTGCAAACTCAGAAATTTGAGTAAACATTTTAGATCAAGACACTTACTGGGGAAATTAAATTGCTGTGGTTCTGTAGTTCCACAGTTTAGATAATTATCTAATAGTTAATGATAGTTAGAAATAGGTATTAGGGTCGTTTTGGACAGAATTTAGCAATATATGTAGGATTAATGGAGGCAATAGACACAGTCTTCGTGCCAAGCACTGGAATGTGAGTGCAAATGTCACAGTGGTCAGGCATCCTGTTTGACAAAAGTCTCAGTACTCTAGCCCTGTCTTTATGGCCTTACTGTGCTGTTCTACAGGCCTTTTTTAGGTCTTCATAAAACTTTTTATGTTAATGATCATATTCCCCCTTCAGGTACCAAAGCAGTCTGATCCTCTGTGTCAAATGGATAATGCAAACCGTCAAGCTGAAAGCCCAGGTGGAAAGAAGCAAGTGTCTTACAGGACAGAAATCGTTGGTGGTGTTCCTATAATTACACCTACCCAGGTAATTACCTTAAAACGAGTGTGGTGGTGTTTGCTAGAGGAAGCTTTGTCATTTGACAGGTGAGAATAGGTTATGTATCGCCACGTAGCTGTCAACTTCTCACCGTGCTCAGAGGACTTAAGCTTTGATGTGCACCTTTTATTGATACCGACTGGGTTCTTTGTTCTGAGGATTTTATTCCTTTTATACAAGATTATAGAGAATTATACAAGACTCAAAGGAATTGCTTGAGTATTGACTTTTAATCACAGGTATCACTATGCTGAAAACATCTTTGTGTGCGTGAAATGAATTGTTGATGTTAAAAAGACAGAACTTTGACATTGCTCACTGTCAGAGAAAGATTTTGAGGATGATTGATCCATGTGGAATGATCTCCATATGAGGACCAATGGAGTATGCTAGTACTCTTCTGTGAGCAAAAGAAATAACTAGAGGAGGATGTAAGCGCTCTACAAAATCACAACTGGCAGAAGTGGATGGTGTAAACTCTTCTCCACTATGGCTTTAAACTGAAAGAGGGGAGATTTAGATTAGATACAAGGAAGAAATGCTTCCCTCTGAGGGTGGTGAGGCACTGGAACAGGTTGCCCAGAGAAGCTGTGGCTGCTCCATCCCTGGCAGTGTTCAAGGCCAGGTTGGATGAGGCTTTGAGCAATCTGGTGTAGTGGAAGGTGTCCCTGCCTGTGGCAGGGGGGTTGGAACTAGATGACCTTTGAGGTCCCTTCCAACCAAACCATTCTATGATTCTATAAGGTACTCCTTGCCAAAAGATGGCATGGATGCAAGAAACTTTTCTGTGTTTGAGAGATTGGACAAGCTCATGGAAACAAAAACCATGCAGTATCAAATACATAGACCTGTATCTGTTTCTGGAAGTTCCCTGAGCTGAAAATTTTTGCAGATTGGATTGTTATCATGTAAATTACTTGTATATATCTGAACTGCATTTAAAAAGTTGGTGAATTCTGTTGTGTCTTACTGTCCTAGCAATAGCTCGCTCTTTGCTGTGGCCGCCTCTGGTGTTTTGCACTTAAAGTCATGTTATGAGTTTGCACTAAATACATGCATAGACATTGCTTTTAGGTCTGTAACATTCTTCATTGAGTGTCTGTCCATATTGTGTGAGAATATTCAGCACTTCCTTAGTGTGGTTTCTAAACGGAGCCTGCAAGTCCTCAACCAGAGCCCTTGGAGAGTCTCATTAGTTGTCTCTAGAAATGTCTCAGTTGAAATATTTTTGTCCTTTCGGACAGATTAGAAATAGGATTTGTGAGCATGGGATGATGCAATTATTTCCTGTTATAAGTACTGTAGTTATTCTTTGATCTTTAGAAAAAAAACGAGAATATTCTGAGCTTTCCTGTTTTTTTCCTAGAAAGAAGAAAGCAGTGAGTGCAGTGAAGGGGCTGATAGGAATTATTTGAAACGATCACAAAGTCACCTTCCTTATTTCACTGCTAAGCATCCCCCAGATAATGCTATTATCAAAGCTGGCTACTGTGTAAAACAAGGAGCAGTGGTAAGTATTTGAGATCAGTGTGTTTCATTAATTGAGAACAAAGATCCTAAGGTGGTAGTGCTACTCAGCAATTAGATGATTTAAAAAAGAAGACACAATTACCAGTAACTTTAGCACTACTGACAATGTTAAGGATGGCTAAAGATAAAAATTTACCCTCCAATAGCATGTTATTTATGTCTGTGTTACTTCTTTTCCTGACTTTATTCAGTGTTACGTTGTTGGAGGTGTTTTGGAGAGGAAAAGTTGTGTGCACAGAGACTTTAACATTGTGGTTAGTGCATGCAACTAGGAATTCTTCTGTTCAGAGGAAGAGTTGTACAACTTGTCAGACTGATTAACACAAGGGGAACTATTCACATGATGCCTTGCTGCTAAAAGAAGGAACAAATAGTTCAGATTAAGCAAGATATGCATGCTTCGTGAGTCCTCAGACTCATTTTATTTTGGATTGTGAAGCTTTTTTGTAACATGCCTTTTTTTAGTTAAAAACAAACTAGAAACCTTTAATGTACTTCTTTTAATGTTTCTTATGGGGTATTGTGCTGCTGAGTTGCTATGTATTCAGTAGAGATTGTTGAAAAATTGTTAAACTCTAGAAGCTACTATTCTATTATTTTTGACAGTTTTAAAAAAAAATAATTGGGCAGAGTCTTGCAGAAATATTTTGGGGGCACTATACATATACACACAACACACAAATAGATGTAATATGTAAAATTTGTAAATATTATAAATTATAAAGATGAAATATACAGTATCACATATAAATATAAGCTAGAATTGTAGTGTAAATAAGTCAATAAATATATGAATAATATATAAAATGTAGGTGTATTTGTATTTTATATATAAAATATATAAATATTTTCCTTTAACAGATGAAGAACTGGAAGAGAAGATACTTTCAGTTAGATGAAAACACAATAGGATATTTCAAATCTGAACTGGTAAGTTTCCAAATGTGTGTTATTTTCCAGTGGTAGCTGTGAGAAAATCTAAAGAAATAAACTTGTATTTGAAAAACGTGCTGTGCTGATCCTGCAGCTCTTAGTTCTGTTCTGTGATAACTTCTCATGATCGGGAAGAACAAAAAATTCATAGGGTGGCTGTCAGGTGGGACTTTGGTCTTCTTTTTGGGAGCCAGTCTGTAGGGCACTGAAGAACAGTAATGGGACATATTCTGCCATCACCCTGATTTTTCTGTTAACATCTTATGTAACTTTGTGCACACATATAATGAATTATGTTCTTGAAACAGCTGGCATTATGTGGAGAGATAGAACTGTAATCTTGCAATTGCTAATTTAAAGTTAGGATTCTAGGGTGTTTCATCCTACAAGTGGTGGGATCTAAATACATGCTCCTTTCACCAGGGCAGCCAAGCAAAGGGACACTTAGAGAGTTTGTTTTGGTTTCGTGATCTTTCTTCTCCGCTCATTGCTCCTGAAGGTTTTGGCCAAACATTAAATGCCTTCAAGCTTCATTTAAAAATGAAGTGGTTGGTACTGGAAACGTTTTTTTTTTTTTTCCTCAAAAAGGAACCCCACACTTACTAACCATGAGAACATCTGTGCATGAGGAATAAAGTCTGAATTGTAGAGTATTATAAATCAAGGAAAACTGAGCTTACAGGCCAAGTGTAAGATGCAGAATGTCAAGAAGCCAAATTTCAGACCATTTTTCAAGAGAACTCTTGCTTTACTTTTGATGAGGGGATACAACAGCAGCAGGAGTTTGATCTTGCATCATTGTCTTTGTTAAACTGTCAACACAGTTCTGACACATTGCCTATAATAAACGCTGTATTTTAATTTTAAAATGAAATCCGAGTGCAGATAAATTCTAACTCAGTGAAGAATTGTACTATGAGAGAGCATACTAGAAAGCTGGTGGAAATGCATACACTTTCAGTGTTTCATCATGCTCCTTCCCAGTTTATTTGAAACGAATAATGCAAAATCTTGTAGTGTCCTCTATTCTTCAGACTAATGTCCCCTTGATGCAGCTTGAGGAAGGTACTGGACTGACAAGCTGTCAGACAACAGGGAAGTATATCCTGCTTCGCAATTTTTACTGAAATCAGGAGTTTTTTTCTTCCGTTTTAAGAGAGTCATTCCTCTTCTTTTCGGGAAAGTAAGTACTGAATAAATAAAGAATATAGTGTCCTTTTTATCAGGCTGTAGTGGTAAATCAAAGAATTCCATGGTTAGGAAACCTATGATGATGAGGAAACCTTATCATGATAATGATTTTCATATAGTTTTTTAAACAATTAGGATCTGCCTTGTCTGAAGTATACATGTTGAAGAGACATTTAATCTGCACCAGCAAGAGCAAAACTTTCACAGAGTGCAGCCCACCAAGAAGAAAACACCTGCAGCAACTTAACCATATGTCCATCAGACTTTTATTTATCTCCTACAAACACAAAAAGAGTAAAGTGCTCTCTTCTGAAGGTTTCAAGTGGTGAATGATTTCTTCCAGTGATGTGTGGGATCTCTGTTTCCCTAATAATCTTCTTTTCCTAATGAAAGTAACCCAAAGATAGCAAAAAAGTTCAAGAGCGATTGTCGTGCCTTTGTTTTTAAGAAGGCTGTGACATGGAGGTCATATCCAGCTAGCCTGGCATCAGACTTTTAATTCTGGAAAACTTTCTGTTGCACTGCAGTTCCCAGTAGCTGCAGTCAAGTATGGCTCTTTACTTGAAGTTAGTTTGTCTTGGCAGCCAGCCTGCTCACCAGTACTCCAGATGACTCTTACTGGATATCTTGAGATGCTGTTGTGTTGCATCTGTAGAAATATGTGAGTTTTCTGCTCTCAAAAATGTAAAAAACGCTGTTGTTTTTTTAATTTAAAAATGTGTAGATTCTGGGGATTTTTTTGTTATGGTGGTTTGGTGTCCTGCCGTGTTTCCCCTCACCTCCCCCTTAATCATCTCCTCTTTTCAGTTCAAGGGAGAGCCCTTGTCAGTCTTCAGGTGGAGCATTGTGGAATACAGGCAGGATCAGACTCAGAAAATTACAATTTCTGAGCTGATGTCTTACCTGCAACAGGTGTCTGTGTTCCAGGGACAATCTTGCAGTTCATGTTTGAGATATTACTTGGAAAATTCCATTGTACTGGATGAGTGAACCTGGGGAGAGGGGGGAAGAAGGGCAAAATAACTGAAAACATCAAGTTTTAAAATCTGTACATTCGATCTGCTATAGAGAAAAACAATCTAATGAAAACTGATGTTTGAGGATGGTGATATTTGGGTGACATTCACTGTTTGCTCGAATCTCTTAAGTATATGTAGTAGAAATTGTAGAGAAAATAGTCCTCCTGAAGCTGACAGCCTGTGTTTGGTCTGTAAGCTGGAGCCAAATGAAGTAGTCCGTTGTGACATTGCTTAAAGAAAACACTTTAGGAGGTAAAATAAATTGTTGTTTGTTTGTGTTTTACTGCAACAACCACAGGAAAACAGTAGTATTTATGACATTCACTTTTGCCATGACAATGTAAAGTATTTCTGTTTGAATGTTCTCACTTTTTTCCTGTTGTGCGAGACTTTGACAGAATTGCAACACTTCTTTTTGTTACAGTAACAGAGTTTTCATCTGCTTTGGGAATACTTGCTCTTTTGCAGGTTTTGGTACGATTGATTTATTTGTATTACTTGAAATTGTATTGACTATGGGATAGAATTCATCTTATTTAAAGCCACGTCATGCAGTACAATTAACAAAGCATCTGGTGTTGTAGCTTTTCATAGCAAACGAGTATAATCGCGGTTTTACTGAAATAAGCTGCTTGAGGCCAGATTCAGTTTTCTGATCTGGTTAAAGGAAGGGGGACAGGGGTGGTTGTCTCCATTACGGCAAGGTGAAGGAGTGTTTTACGTTTTTTCACATCTTGATTTGGCCTCCTCTTTGTTGCAAGTGCCATGGTTGGTTTAATACTTAGAAAAGCAAATTAAATTTTGATTGACAGCACCTTTTGCATAAGTGACTGCCTTGAAAGTCTCATTTATAGAAGTCTGCTCCTGTCAACGGTCCTGACCTCTAGCTTTCTGCTATATTCTAATGGTAGGCATACTCCACTGAAATATTTTCACTTTTTTTTTCAGGAAAAGGAACCTCTCAGGGTTATACCACTTAAGGAGGTCCATAAAGTTCAGGAATGCAAACAAAGGTGAGGAGAGAAGCACTGATGCCATTACCTGGGATGTAGTACACTGCTTTGTCGTGGCTAGACTGCTCGTTGGAAACAATGGAGAACTTTTTAATAACTTTGGTTGATGTATGCAGGTGTGATACTCTTTATTTCTAGGACAGCAGGTAGTTTTGTGAATAAAACTGGTTTTGAGGGTTCTGTATTAGCGTGTGTTTCAAACTTGTAACGTTCATTGGAATGCAAATGCATTGGACAAGGGTGGAACAAAGGAATATCGTGCAATCATGAGTTAGAGATGCATGAGTGCTGTCTGATTTGAGGCAGCAGTTTTAGGAGTCTCTATTCTGCTTATATAATCTCCAAACCTTTAGAGGACACTACCTTGTGTTAAATGTCTGAATTTAGATGAGAACACTCTTCCTCCTGCCGTTTCTTTCCCACCAACTGGCAATGTGCTAAGGAATGAATTGCCTTTGTAGTAGCCATGATGGATGTTGAATTTTTTTCTTTTAACAGGCTGCTGTTTAGAACTAATGCTTTGTGAAGACATAACAAAATATAAATGTGAAATTTTACAGAAATTTGACTAGAACAATAAATATTTTTAAACTCAACATATGTTTTAGCATGTTCCAATTAAAATATATGTAGTAGCACACATGCCACCGATTAGCTAGAGAGTGTTAGGACTAAAATGAGTAAGAGATGCTGGTTTTCTTTTTCTACTTGGTATTTACCAAAAAAAAACAACAACAGTGGAGTGATAAAGAAATTGAAAGGTTTTCAGACAACAAACTCTCTGATTCTCTGCACATCCTAGAGTCTTTTTAAAATAAAATGGGAAAGTTGTACTTGCTGTTGAAGTGTTTTTGTTTCATTTACAGTGATATAATGATGAGAGACAATCTCTTTGAAATTGTAACAACTTCTCGAACCTTTTATGTACAGGTAATTTCTTTCTTTTAAACTTTGGGCAATACGAAGAGACTACCGTAGCGAAAGCAAAGAAGTGCTGTTATTTTGTTTTTAAAGTTATATTTAACTATGCTGTGATTTTCAGAGGGAATGTGATCTTCCTTATATTTCAGAAGGATGCATATAAGAAATATTCCACATAACAGCAAGTGTTATGTTGGTAGTGTATGAAAATAATAAAAAATAAATTCTAATGTGGTTTTGTTGGCATTTGGGTCTTCAGATGGATCAACTCAATATATTGAATCTTTCATTTTGAAGTACTGAATTTTTGTGTATAGTAATTGAGTTCTCAGATTCAAGTTAGTCGCCACCTTAAAATATCTACTAAAGCACAGCAATATTTAGATTTTAGTACCTATTTGGTAATATGTATTACCATTACCATGTCACCTTCTAAATGTTTGGATATAATACAAATGACAGACTTGTTTTTTCTAGCTGTGTGGGAATGTGATGCTTACAGTACTGGAAACAGTTTTTGAGTTTCTGTTGTAGGCTCAGAAAGGCCTGCATAGTCTAACACAGGCAGTGGTGCCAGATGTTGAATTATGAGCTGTCCTGTAGCTGAACATAATTAACTGACATGTTGCAGATCCTTGCTGGGTAGCTGTGCTGGCTTAATAAAGCTACAACATAATGAGGAGATAGCTTTCGCTTTTTATCTGTCTTTTTCTCGACACGTGTACACCCTTGGTATTCACTGTGCATCTATTGCATCTTGTTGGATTGTAGTTCTAAGTAAACCACCTACAGCTGACACCCGACAGAGACTGATTTTTATTTGACTAATTTAACTCTTCAGTAAATATCTCATGGAAGCGAAGTGCAAGAGTGACTGAAAAGGACAAGTTGTGTCGTGGGCCAAAGCCTGCTGAGAGGGGTCAGCAGCTCTCCTCTAAGAGTTTCTGTGGGTGCTTTAATTTTTTTGTTTGCTAAAGTCAAAACTTGAGTCTAGAGTATGCAAATAGTGTAAAAATACTGATTTCTTGCTTATGATTTTATACAACTCTCTCTATATAGTAGTAAATTCTGGATTAAGAAATGGAAGACCCTATGGCTTTAAGTAACAGACTCCTAAAGTAGGGTAAGGCTGTTGTTGGAACGCAGATGGTCAGGACACTGGGAAAGTTGAGAGCTGCTTATGTTAAATATAACTCGTATTGTTTGATCCAGGCGGACAGCCCAGAAGACATGCACAGTTGGATAAAAGCAATTTCTGGGGCCATTGTAGCACAGCGGGGACCTGGAAGATCAGCAGCTTCCGTATGTTGTTCTGAACCCCAGAGAAAATGTGATTAGTTGATGTTCACTTGTGCACATGAAGTTCTAGTTGTTTTTTCCTTTCTCCTGTCCTCTATCCTGTCCTGTAGTAACGTGGCATCTTTGCATGCACTTTCATACAGACTGGCATAAAATATTTTGTGTTTTTAACTGAGCACTTAGTCTTATCTGTGTGTAACTTTATGTGCATTGTATTGTCTTCAACACATAGATAATGCAAGTGCTAACCTACAAGAATTTTTCTGAGTTCAGTATGATCTCTGTCACTACTACTCTGCTAGTTTGGAAGTAGAATTGAAACTTTTGAATTCCTGCAAGGTGTTTCTGCTAATCACTGAATTTTGCAATCAAATTACAATATCCTAATTTGTTTTTAACAGCTCTTTCTGCTAAATACTCATTCTCTGTTGTTGATAGTTTATTGTATATGCAGAGACGATCTCAAATCTGAAGTAACTCCTCTAAGAGATCTGTGCTCACATGAATTGGTTTTTGCTGTTGGAAATGTCGTGTGAACACCATCTAGCATTACTGAACTGGGGCACTCTGACAAATCTTAATGTTTGTGAAGCCATGGGGATACCAGCGTTTTATATGTATTTAAACTCGACTAGATGTTCAGTGCAAAGTACACGAACTTGTGACTAGTGACGGTTACTGTAGTGTCACAGTGCCTCCGTGTCCAGATTTAACAAGTGGAATACTTGACAGTTCAGATGTTGCAAGCTATGGTTTTTCACTTCCTGGCTGTGGGATATTTGGTAATAAGCTGCATATATCATTACCCCCATAATCTGAAATCAAATCATTTAAATCTGGCTTTTGACTACACATTTGCATCGATATTATGTTTCATTTAACTCAGTCTAAGCTCTCTGTTTTTGCAGCTGGGAGCTGCTTCGTGTTTTTAAGTAAATTGAAAATTTTGTTTCTTTTGGGGGAATGAAGATATGCAGATAACTTTTCTTTGTGTATGCTTCTTTCTGTGGGGCTAACTGAGCAATCTAGCTGTTACTGTCTGCGTCAGTTCTTTCCTTTCCCCTCTCTTCCCTCCTTTCCCCAAGTATAGGTTACTCTAATCTTAGCTTTGCACTGTGTTCCAGATGCGGCAGGCCAGAAGGCTGTCGAATCCTTGTATACAGAGGTATACATCAAGAACTGGTGAATGCAGCACGTATGTGGGCTCTCATGTAAACTTGCCTTCTTAACAGAGGGCTAGGACTAGAGACTAATTTGCACTATAAAAAAACCCTAAGAATAATGCTACCTGTTGTCATTACCATTACTGAAAACTAACTCATAAATTATGTCATTCACTTACAGGTTTGCACTATTTTTTCTTGCTTTTAAAATAATTGGAAATTTAAAATGGCAAAAACATGTATTTATACTTCAAAGCATACTATATGTCTAAACGTAAGTTATGTGATGTCGTTTTAACAGGAAAGTATTCAAACTAATTTGCATGAGAGTTCATATTTCCATTTTACTTTACATTTTTTTGAAACTGCGCAAAAGCAAAGTTTAAGCTACCCACGAACTAATACAGATGCGTGCACACACAAAAACGCACGTCATAACTCTTGGCAATTGGAAGGATAATGTTGTAGCCTGATTTGCATGGCTTACAAGTCTCTGCATGAAATTATTAGTTCAAACGTAGAAGCGTTATCATGTGTCATCAGTACACTGTTCAAAGCAGTGCACCTTAGGAGTACTACAGCAGCCTAGTCTCTTAACTGTGAAATTGCAGTCAGTGTGGGTAGTGAAATCTGAGTATCCTTCAGTTCCATTCAGCAGAAAGTTTATTATAAAGATTTTGTCCTAATATCCCTTACTTTTGTCCTATTTGTTGAACTAATGTTATTAGTTATAAGAAGAATAGTAGGTAAATCACTGGATCATATGTTCTCCTAAAGCAAATGTTTTTCTTAAAGTGGAGTATCAAGTCAGGTATGAAATAGGGCAACGTAAACAACTGAAATTGAAGTCCAAAAATAGTTGCACAGCTCCTTCACCCAATAATATTAGTTAACTTATAAAAAGAAATACAGTAATATTTGGCAGAATCCATTATTATTGAATTTATGAATTCATGTCATAGCATTCTAAAAGAAACTTGGAAAACTGCTGTGAAAATAAGGATTTAATTGAGGATGTATTTTTGCATCTTGGACACACATCTGTGGTGGTTTTTTGCTAACAAATGTGCTTGAAAAGTGACTTGCTTTGTGTATACACACGGGTTCACCGATTCCTGTAGCTCGTGCACTAACGCTGGTGACGGCAGAAGTGGCAGCAGCTGCAGCTCCTAATGCCTGCAGAGGGAAGTATTCACTGCATCACTGCACATCATCTAGAGCGGATCATTTAACACTCTCTCCAGCACTGGATTAGATATCCCAAGGTGTTTGAATCATCCTGACAGAACTGAGATACATGATACAAAAAATTCCTCAGATTCTGCTCTGGAGATACAGCTGTAGGTCAGGCAGGATATCCTGGGACATCTAAAAAGGCACTTTGTGCCTATGCTTTAAACATCTACATCATTCCTGGGTAGTCTGGGAACTTGTTTCTATCAGTAAGGAAATGGTGGGAGATTATTTCCATGGTATCGACCTAACAGTTATGTAAAGGTCAACAGAATGGCAGTTAATCATAAACACAAGAAAATAATTTGATGATTAGAAGGATCGAGCTTAAAGATCAATTTCTTTTCTAGGTCTATTAACTTTGGAAATTGTTATGCAGTCTTGATAGCATAAAATAGTTACTGTATTTGTTTAGTCCCTGGAAAAAAATGGGGAGATTGATACCCCAAGAAGAGGGAACAGTAAAATGTTCATTACTTCAGGATTTAGGATCTCTGTGCCTGATGTATATGAATACATTTGAATACACTTTACTTTTGGAAAGATGTCACTTTTGATGCCCTTTAAAGTGTGTATCTTCAAAAGGTTACTTAATATCTTAGTAAAATGAGAAGCTTCAATTTGCTGGACTATGCTATAAAGTCTAAAGAGCTGCTGAGCTGGATTTGAGAAATTTAATTTCTTCACATGAAGAAACTCCTGTTGCTGTCACATACTGCTGTAAGCTCACATTTAATCGTACATCGCCTTGAGAAAGCACCTGCCTCCTGCTGCTGTGGCTGATGCTTCGCTTTGTGTTTTCTGTCTTGATTTTTTGTTTTTCTGAGAGTGAAGTCTGAAACTGTATCTCTCCAACATGACTCAGTGACTTCATCTGACACGTGTTCTTCTTTTCCAGGAGCATACCGAGTCTTCTTCCGAACCCAACCATGCTCTCCGTTCTGCCGTCCCAGCCCCAGCCACCTCACATTCCACAGCCTCTCACAGCAGCCCTCTGGTCCCAAACCCTCACACCAAATACCCTGCCTTGGAGAAGCGAGGATTTCACGAATCTTTTACCAAGGCCAGGCCAGGGAGCTACAAGATCCAGGTTGTCACTCCAAGAGAATCAGCTTCCAAAGTGACTGAACGGGGCCTCTCGGAACCCCAGAGTAAAAATGGCACTCAGGAACAGGATCCTGGCCTTGTGGATCTGGATGATGCAAGCCTTCCAGTTAGTGATGTGTAGTGTTGGAAGTGTTTGGAGAAAGATCCATTCGTTTGGTCCTCTAATTTCCTTGCTCGGACTTTTAACCAAAGAAAATTATAGGAAATGAGAACAAAAAACCATAACACTGATTTTTATACACGTGTGTGTTTCTGTGCACACATGTGTATATATAATGTGTTTGTATGTTGCCTTTCAGCTGAGGGTCAGAAATGGACCTTATGTGTCTTCTCAAAGCCTGATAGTAAATCACTAGCTAGGGAGGGGCCAAACTGCACAATTTTGAAGAAAGAAAAAAAAAAAACCCACAAAAGACAAAACCAAAAAAGTACTTCTGCAAGTAAGCAAGGTACCAGCAACTTTTCATTCCTAATCTGGCAAATTTACTAAATTCACAACTAATGCTATATTGTGGAAAACTTATTGCCAACAGATGTGATTTCTTAGTTTCATTTTGAACTACAGTAAGATTTTAGGCATAGATGAGAATTGTTTCTCTCCACGACTTTCAGATACCAGGAAATGCACAAAATGTTTTTTCTGTTCTTTAGGATCAACAGTGTCAACTGATTTGTTATCAGAACAAGAATTCTGAACTCCCTTGGAATTCTAATTATGGTGCTGTAAAATTTCCACTAAATAATATTTTGAATAGCCAGCTTATTTTTGATGCACTCCTTAGGTGGGTTGTAACTTTTTGCACATTTGGATTTTAATGGACTGCATGTAATGGTGTTTTGGAGGGGGGAGAAGAGAAATTGGACTTTTAAATTTGGACACTTTAGATCTTTCGAACCAACTCGGGTTTATATTATGTTACATTAGGCTCTGCAGCAATTATTTTTCTTCAAATGCCTAAACGTATCGTTCGATTACTGTTTTGAGAATGGTTTTCTTATCAGTGCTTTGTGAACAGTTCCTGGTTTCTAGGTTTGGGCAGTGGAAAACTGGTTTAGTCGTGTCACTGTTGGTACTGAACTGTTCATAGCCATGCAGTTGGGGCCTGTAACTCTTGGTGCACTAATAATCTTAAGTGCCTGTGGTTTTTTTCTCACATTGTTGGAAACACTTTGGGATTGGGCGTGTACACAAACCATTCGTAATGGTTTTGAGCGTTGGCTTGGAGTTGTTCTGAATAGCATAGTTGGAAACAGCTATTTAAAATAGAAAACTTAGGCTGGGGATACCAGTGTTCTGGTATTGCACCTACTAGCTGTGCAATATGTTTTTAAAAAAAAAAAAAAAGAATATTTGTTTGTGTACACTGTGTTATGGGGCTTCAGTGATGCAAATGGAAAGAACCTTTACATTTCAAGTATCGGATTAGATTGAGTGTGTTCTTCTCATCGTTTTTGAAAAATGTTTGCTTTAATCGAAACCCCACAAATATCTCGTGCTGCTGCTTATTGTGATTCAGATCGTCCAGCTTTGTGATACTTTTTTTTGTCTACTGGAACCTAAGATGCATATCATACAAGTCCATCTTCTCTCCAACTTCCAAACTGACTTCCTGCTTGAGAGATACGGATGGCTTTACCACAATAATTTGTTGATCCAAGGATAGATAATTGGTGTCATATAAGAATGAAATACAATCTATTTACAAAACATTAAATTATATCAGCACCTTCACATTTTTTTTATCCATAAGCTAACTAATCACTGTCTTCAGGCAGTGGTGTTTGTAAATTACTGGTTTTGTTTGACTCTTTAGATATATGTGAAAACTAGCACAGAATTGGAAGTTACTGTAAATGTCTGAACTAGTATTGTAGGTTTTAACTTCTATAAAGATAAAACAATAGCTCTTTAAAAGCTTATTTTTTCACAAGTACATTCTGTGTGGAAGACACTTTGCATTGAAATATTTTTTACTGTAGTCTAACATCTGAAATCACTTGCTCTGGTACAGCTTTCACACTGCATGTTCATTTTATTATATTTTGGTATTGACAATTTTACACATTTGGGTGGAGGTAAAGCAGCTCCGTTATGGGACTTACAAAAAGAGGAAAAAAAAAAGCAAAGAAAAAAGAGAAGAACTACTGTTGTAGTTCAGAGTAGCATAGGGAAATATTTGTGGTTGGTAATTGTCAGGGTCTCCTATTTATCAGTACTTTTTTAAATCTATGAAAATTGTTAAATTATTTTAGAAACAGTGCTGTAAATATGTCACATTTAAATTGTCAATAAATCAGTTTGGGTAACTTACATCTGACTGAGTTTCCTTGCACCAGGTTAAATATTTTATCAGAACAATATAATCCTTTTTAGCATATAAGCAGTCAGGTTATCTTTTATCCAGCTATAATGTCTTTTTAGTTTGTCAGATCTGATCAGGTTGTGAAGCTTAAAGAAATCAAACAGAATGAGTTGGTTTTCGTTTACTGTTCCCAGTTTCTGCTGTGGAATTTTACCTGTTACGAAAGGGAAGTCGATCAGGTTTCCTTTTAATCAATGGAAGGGAAGAGGTGACTCAAGTTAACCATTTGAAAACACTCAGGCTCAGTCTGAAAGGGGGTGGGGGGTACACAAAAAAAACAAGAGGAGAACAAAGTATGACATGCATTTTTTGTGGCTTTATACTGTTGCATAACAAAGGTTCTCTCTCAGAAATGCTTTCCTGAAGTGACAGCACCTATGTGACATCTGGAAGCACCTCACTGTACAGTAGACAGTGTGATGCCACCACACTTGAGTCACTGCATTCCTCAAGCCCATTTTTCCTTTTTGTAAAGTGGCCCAGTCAATCAGTCTGTCTCGAGCTTCAGATAAAGAACAGTAATAGATATTTTATGTAGGCTGCACACAGTGACCCAAATTCCAGTTTGACTGTGACATCTCCTGAGTGTGAATTATTCCAGGTGTGTGCACATCTGCAGGTACACTAGTATCAAAATGTACGTGCTAGTGTCCCCAATGTTTTACTTGCTAACATATGACTTCTAGAGGAGTCGCTTCACACAGTGCCTTGCAGCTTCCATTTTAACCAGTTGCACCCCACGCCGGAGCTGCTACGAAATATGTACGTAATTGTACCTTTGGTACCCTGTCTCCACTTAAACTAGACGTTTTTAGCTTTATTGTAACATCACTGAGTTCCAAAAGCAGCTTGACTGCAGCAGTACAGAGCTGATGTTTCAGTAAGGCCCTTGGGATATCAGGGTAGATACTGATCCGTGTACAGCAATACACAATTTTACTCTTCCTAGTAAGAATAAAATGCAATTACTGGCTGAAACTCAAACTTATTTAAAGGAGCTGACGATACCATTTAGAGTTCATCTATCTTATCACATGCATATCTGCTGTTTAGCTATCAACATTTTATCCTGTAACTATTTTCATAAAAATCTTGTTACCTTTCACAGCCCATGGAGACCTGAGTTGTGGTGCCCGAAATGACTTGGATGCTCTTTTCTTACTATGTGCTGTCTTGCACGTTTTCATTTGTTGTCTACTGCCCTTCTACTGAAGAGAGAATTGAATTATTCTTTATGGGTTATAGATTTAAACCTACCATATTACAATCAGAAATCTACAGAAATTTAACTGCTAAATCTACAATCCACGTGACTGAAGGTAACTGCCAAAGGGTAATGATCCAGAATACAGTTTAATAAACTGGCATAGGCCTTAACCTCATGGAATAACAGGATGTCAGCACCACCTAGAGGACATGCTCTAGCTTTAAAACTGATCTGTGTCAGGCATTTAATTTTCATGTGTATTTCTGATCTTAAAAATCCATTTTGAAACTCCACTTAAGTCACTGGACTACTCATTTGTTTTGGTTTTTAAAAACTCTTACACCTTGTAAGCCTTGAATAGCACTGGCAGCAACTGGTTGAAGATAAAACATCCCTTTCTCCCTGCTGCTGTTGTTTACAATACCACTTTACTCCTGAGGAAGCTATGATGTTATAGGGAAAAAACAGTCAATAACCTACTACTTGTCCAGCGTGTGAGTGATACACTTTTCATACTACCAAGTAGCAAAACTCAAACCACAGCAGGAGTGAAATATATCGATTATCGATAAAGAACTGATGTTTCCCTATGATAAACCAGGAGAAGAATAAACCTATAGCCAGATACTCAGTCTGGTAAGAGCAGCCTTTTTTGAATGAAAGGAAAGTGTGTGTTAGACAATTGTATGAAATGTGCACACTCAAAACATTAATTATTGCTTGAAGGACCTGCAAGGCAGTAGCTTTGTGCTAGGAGGCCTGGAGCTGAGCTAGTTGACTTTCAATTATGGCAGTTTAAAAACTCTGGAATGTACCTGGTGAACTGGTTATCCAGAACAATGCGGCTAGTCAGAAGGACCTTGAAAATATCTCAACTGAGCACAGTGTCTCTTCAGCCACTGGGCTGGAAAGGAGGTGTCTCTGCTGCTTTGGGAGGCAACGTAATGCGACACACGGGTAGGAGTTCGGAGGTAGACCAGATGAATCGGGGCTGCAGATTGAAGGAAGGGACCTGACTGGTTTGAAACTTCATTCTTTACTGAGCTGCCATTTTAGTAGTTTTCCTTTCTGACTTTGAGGTTTTGCAATTCCAGATAGAGGTTCAGAAGTCAAAATTCTCTACAGAAATGAGTTAAAAACGCATACGACATCACAGACTATCTCCTGTCATGAAAATGGCTGTATTAGTAGGCTAATTTTTGGGGCTTTATAAGAAGTGTATATTATAATGGATGGAGAAATTAGTGAGCGTACCAAAAAGCTGCACTCTGAAGGTGTGGGACAGAAATAATACTGTTCTTATCAAGATCCCATATTAATTTGAGGTGGGAGATAGGGAAGAAATGAAAGAAAGGGAAATTTGGACAGGGCATTTTTAGTCTAAAGGTTAAAAAAAAAATGAAGCGCTCTGTGCTGTGTATAGTTTTGCCTTTATCAGTTTTATTTAATGTCTTAACATTCATTTGTCTTTTGGAGCACAACCTGTATAACTTTGATACTCCAAGCTGCTGAAGTACTTCTGAGACCTTCCATTGAAGGTAACCAAGTGAGTCCTACTCGGTGACTGAATCACATCCCAGATGTCTGCCTTGGTTTTTCACTTCAGACTTTCTGTGCAACCTCTCTGAGAAAAAGAAACTGGTACTCAT